CCTAGTGAATGATGGACAGCAGAGCCAAAGAGTTGAGAGAGTTTTTCAAAAGAATTTTGGACCAGAGAGACAGGTTCTGTAACCTTGTACTATTAACATTGAACTGATTTGATAGGATATAATTTAGGAGCAAAGACATTCCTTTTGTTAAGGTTCCTCAGACCAAAATCCAAACTCACTGCCGTGGAGTTGGTTCCAACTCACAGTGACCCCTCCTTGGGTTTCCGAAGATATATCTCTAAGGAAGTAGATTGCCCAGTCTTCCTTCTCAGAGTGGCTGGAGGGTTTGAACCACCAGCCTTCTGGTTAGCAGTCAAATGCCTTAGGCACTACACCACCAGAGCTCCTGTTAAGGTTCCTAGGGATCTACAGTTTGCAGATATCTTTACAATAGACAGATATCCCTACAACTGAAGTTGTCTACAGAGAATCTGGTTAACAAACAGTCCAACTGTTACACTATTGTTTCTTCAAATAGCAGCAAACAGAGAAGGCAGTCTTTTAATTACACTTAGCTAGACTGATAATCTTGAGATTAAAGACCCCCTAAGGTGTTCCCACCAGTTTCAAACTAAAAGTATAATTAAAAAAAGAGAAAAGAAAAAAAAAAAACTCTAACTTACAAAGATCTTTACTTATAAAATAAGGAATAGGTTAGAAGTTATTAATCTATTACAGTTAGGTTAATCAACATTATTGTAGAAGGACAAGCAGAGACAAGTATGTGGGACTTTTTTTTTCCCCTAAAGCTTTAAAGTCTTAATACACAAGCACTAGAACATCATGTAAATGCCTTTCATTGTTAATGTCTTTTACTGATCATATTATAACTCTATAACCTATACACCATAAACAAAATAGCTTTCAATTATATCCGTATCCCCACAAGTATTTCTTTGCCTCAGCAATTACTTAATAAATATTAGGTGAATAAATGAACTGACTATTGAGTGATTGTCTTCTCCCTCACAGTTAAATGGGCTTATCACATACTGTCAGAGAACTATATACACTCCCATGACTTTTTACATATTGAATCTTTTACTTTAACCTAAACTCAAAATTTCTCAATAGTCCTCATTGTAGGCATTTCCATTTTATTAGTGTATTAACTGGTGGCCATTGGATGTGATCTCAAAACACAAGCACAGTTAGTAATTAAAGTGGTCTAGGAGAAGGGGTCAGTTTTGAAGATACCTTGTAATAGTTTTGCTGCCTATCTATTTTTTTTTTCTTAGAACAATTATCTCACAATTAAATTTATGTCTCTGTATTACGTCCATCTCACTCGCTCATCACGCTAATAAAAGAAATCTAAGTTTCATCATTTGTCCCTTTTCCTTCAATCACTGCAGTCAGTAACGAAGAATGTCAGTTCTGGAAGTGATCTTAGAAATCATCTTAGCTGTATCCCTAGGACCAAAAACAGGGCCTGGCCCACATTTGTTCAATGAATGAATGAATCATGGATTCATTTCTCCATCCTCCCACTCTGCCCTACTTTATAAATGGGGAAACTACAGCTCAGAAAGATCAGGTGGCTTATCTTTATACACATAGCTAGTCGGTGCAAAACCAGGATATTGTAATCTCAATCCTTGATTTTTGTTTTAACTTCCATCATTCCAACAGTCAGAACTACCCCTTGACTATACTCAGTTCGTCAGGAGTAATGCAGTCTGGAGCAGCATAAGTGGGTATCCTAGCTTCTGCTTGCTTATGATCTAAAGACTGTTCAAGTCAGTGATTTTGTCTCCATGATGGAACCTGACATCATGGTGAGAGTGCTGGGAAAGCTCACTGACAACCAATACTCATTATGCACACCTACACACATGTGCATTCATGCAAAGCAAGTTGAACAGGCTAGAGGAGCTTATAAACAAATTACAGAATCTCAGGGTTAGATGAGATTTAGAGAGAGTCTAGCCTAACCTCCCATTTGTCTGGTGCTTGGATCTTCCCCACAACATTCCTACAAAATTGTTACTCATTCTCTGTTTAAACAACTCCCACCATACAGGCAACCAGGGCAGTCCAATCTTTGGACAGCTGTGGTTATAAAAGTCAAGCAACAAGAAGCAATTAACTAAGCACACAAAATAGGCACTAGCTTCTCAAAAATTTGAGACTTGGATCAAAACAAGGAAAGCTGAACATGTTAATCAAGAAAAGTCTATTGTAACTGTATCTGGTAGTCTCCACTGCACATTCTAATTTTTAATGGTAAGATTATTAAGGCTCAGTATACATCACACACTTCAGATGGATCAGAACAGCAGCCAAAGTAAAAACACAATGTTGTTGTTGTTATGTGCCGTCAAGTCGGACTCGACTCATAGCAATCCCTCCTCGGGTTTCTGAGGCGATATCACTAAAACCACAATACTCAGTGTAATATCTGTTTTCCCAAGAAGTTTCTCAGTTATGTTTTCATAAACTGTTTTATAAGAACCATCTAGAGAAGTCCCACTGTATTTTATTTCCCATACTGCTTCATCTCACTATATCCCTTTAGATATTTTATGAAGGTTATATACGTTTTACAGCTGACACTAGTTAAAACAGAGGAACAAGGGACTTGTAATTTGTCCAATTACAAAAACTTGACAATTCCCTATAATCTAGACTCTAAGACACCGAGTGTGCTTCCATGGCAGAGGGCAAGGTGCAATTTCAGGAAACTTGTAGCCAAGCTTTTCACTTAAAGCACTTCTTGAAATGGAACGTTTCACAGAAATACTACATATATTTACAGATAATCGTCATCACCTCTGGATGTCACAGAATTATACCAAAACCAGCCAATGAATCATTACCCCAGGTCTCTACATCAGGTGGGTGTGAGCACCATGGCTCAGGTGAGCAAACGGAGACAGGTTCTCTGAGCTACATCCAGAGGCCTCCAGTGAGTCATTGGCAGGTTAGGGGAGAGAACTTGTGAGTCAAAGCTCCCTCTTCTGGGAAACAGTTTTAAGAGAAAAGTCTCAGCCCCACCTTAGATAAACTCTGGCTTAATCAAAATAAGAAGAGGAATCTGATCTGGAGGGGAAAAAAAAAAACAAACATCAAATTCATCAGGAAGAAATCTCGAAAGTGGTTTGGGGGGGGTGGCTAGGGAAGAGAAAAAGTGCAGTTCTTCCACCATACTTCAAAAACTATGATAACTGTATAATAATAGGAGCAAATGAAAACAAAACATTTTAACACATTATCATCTGTAGGAAGATTTGCAGATTCCATAGGTTCATTAAAGGAAGCTAAAGGAAAGCCTATCTAAACATGCTGAAAAGGAACAATCTTGATTAAAGGGATAAAATTGACAACAATATTTCTCCGGAATTCCCTTAGAACCTTCACTATGTGCCATCCCCTCAACACGGCATCCAAAAGATATAGTCTCTGACACATCCATCAAGAAATTCTATGATTATTTCCCAATTATTCATGTTAGGAGAGTAAATATAACAGAAGGGCAATAAGTAACATATAGTTACTAATATATAGATCAGTTTTTGGTATAAAGGGCTCCTAATATGGGAACTTTGAAAAGCTGAAATGATAGCACTCAAGACTTCACTAACAGTGATCAAATTCCACAGATTCAGAACATATGTCTTAGAACTTGAAATTACATGGCTTTTTACAAAACCACTTGTACTAGTAAAAGGTGCTCCTCAGTAGGAGGTGGACAAAGCAACCAAAATAAATTTGAGCAACTGTAATGCTATTTTACTTTGGGGGGCAGTTTGATTGCTCCTGTGGCACACAGAGAGGGCTGCTGGGCTGGTTGAGGCAGGAGAGCACACCGTTTGTTTATATAGGCAAAGACCAAGGCAGCTTTTCAGGCGCAAAACAGATACATAGTGCCCAGAAACTATTGTGATTTCTTTTGATAGTCCAGCCATGAACAGTCGTTACTTAATTAACTGGAAATTTAACGACTTTCTTGATACAGCACTCAAAAACTTTTATTTAAAAAAAAAGGGTGGGGGGAATCTTATGATCCTTCTGGACACAATCCTTAGAAACATGTAACTCTGCATAATGCTTTCTCACTTCACAGAAGTGAGAAGAGAACATCCATCACAGAGGAATTTCCTTCAAGGATGAAAGAAGCTTAGGGAAACATGGGCTGTCCTCACCTCTCACTATCTTCCTCCCCAGCTGACCTCTGCTTTCATCACCTGGATCTATTTTGATGCAGTTTTCTTCAACACCTTCATTCATCCTTTCATATTAGGACTGGGAGGGTTTTAAAAACCTTTCTTTCTTGTCATTCTTTTCCACCTCCTATCAACCTTCTCTTTCTAAAATAACCACACTACCTAGCCTGCCTCTTCTGGAGACGCCCAACTTGAGAAAGCCTAACCCCTTCAGGGGAATCTCCAGAGGCTTCCTCAGAGAACAAAATCTTGGAAGAGGCTGCAAATGGGCTTCCCCACCCTTAATGGCTCTTAGAAATTGGACGGAGAATCACAATCATAAACCACAAGTGTAAGGAGAAGACACTAAGATGAGCTATTCCAAGTAGAATATGATTTTTACTATGAAACATCATAGTAGAGACACATTTTTTTTAATAAAATCCTCATCTAATACTTTGGGATTTTCTATTTAATTTTACAAATTTGAGGCAACAAACTTTTCAAGGCATCCCTCCCCCTCTTTTTATAATTTGCATACTACCAGTCTTCAATTTACACACAACGTCCAGAGTAAGAGCTCAAGCTGAACTTTGGCCTTCACCCTATCTCCCCGAAGTTCATTGGAATTTCAGATGAAACTGTATCTAGAGGGGTAGAACACTCGCCCAGAGAATGAGACAAACTAGAGTTTAGCCTGGGACCTCCCTTCTCCCAAACTAGAAGAAGTAACCTGATCAGAATATTCGATCAACTAACGACGGAAAATAACTTAAACGCAATAGAATCAGCAGATAGCCACTGCTACTTCACAGGGTCTGTGGGTCTGGGCATTAGGGTGGAGAATGCACTTACTATGCAGGTTCAGCAAGGAGTCAAAGACTTTGCACTGGATCTGCCCAGTACTCTGCGACACGCAGGACATCCACAGCCCCTCGTAAATGGCTTGAGCGGTCACGATATTGTCGCCAGCGTAGGAGTAAATCTTCCACTGAGGCAGCGCGGTGCTAACGATGGCGCCAATCCAGCCCAGGAAGGCCAGGATGAAGCCCAGCAACTGCAACCCCGCGTTGGCCATGGTTCTCTTGGCGCCGGCGCTGGCTCAGAAGAGGCAGGTGGAGAAAGCGGAGAGTTTGTTATGTGTGCACCCGGGCTCCAAGGCTGGCGGAAACTCGCTTAGAGGCAGCTATTTCGGAAATTCCTGCTTTCTCCTCCGCGGCGGAGAGTGTCCGGGTCCGGGTCGGGGTACGGGTCAGCGCTGGAGTCAGGATGCGCCTGCTCTCAGACTCTGGGACTGAGACACCCAACTGCAGGCGCCGCAATTTAAAGCAACCACGCCTCCGTCCGGACCCTGCTGCTGTGCTTCGCCCCCTGGCGGTTTTAGGGCGTCAGGCGGGAAGAGTGAGGCTCAGGAGTCCTTGACAGGACACTCCTGCCCGCGGTGGGGGACATTTCCCGGCCGAGACACGGAGCATACTTCAGCGCTCTCTCTTTTTTCCAGTCATTTCTTTCCTAGTGGCTTATTTCTCAAGCTTTACATTCATTCATTCATTCACTCATTCAATCCATATTTATCAAAACTTACTCTGTACGTGTAAACTCTAAAAATACATATGAAGAAAAAGAAACCTCAAGAGCGTCACATTTTAAAACTTTTCAATGTTATAAAACATTTTCTAACTTCCTTCTCTCCTTTGTTCAGCTTCCTCTCTTCTCCTTTCCTCCCTCTGTCCTCTCCTTCCCTTTGTGACTCCTCCTAGAACCAAATATCTCTGCTAGAGTCATAAAACATAGTTATATTTTATAGGGTAGGAAAATGAGACCCAGAGCCCAAACCGGATTTTTATAGGATCACACAGCAAGTTAGTAGCAAAGCCAGTTCTTGGATCCCAGTTCCTCTGCTTCCCACTACATCTCAAGTGGACCACAATATATACCCTTTAATCTGTTATGGTCCTTATGAAAATGCATCCTCTCCTTAACCCACCACCCCCTACACACAAAGCCTTTCCCCCAAAGCAAATTGGCTTAGAGTAGAACTTCATTATTATAGGAACCTGGTAAGGACCTACACCCAAAAAGTGAATTTATTAATGAATTATCAGATAAGATTTATGAGAGGTCAGGTTATCTAAAAAATCATTCCTTTGGTATAAGGAGGCCTAGGCTGGGTTTTAGGAAACTGGGCTCTGGTTTGGACTTCTGTAGTAACTAGCTATGCCACCTCCTGCATTTCCATCAGGTTGAGCCTTCAAATTCCCTGTTTGGGTGTCTGAAGCTTCCTTCTTTGTAGTTACTCAGAAGCGGTATTGTGGTTGGGAATAATAAAAATGTTTTCCCAACTGCTTTTTATATGTGGTATGAGCATGGTAGGAGGAGAAATTTCTCTGGTTTCAGTAAAAATAGAAACATCTTAGAAGCAGAAATAAACATTCTAAGGGAGGAAAAAAAAAAAAAAAAAACATGTCTCTATTAACTACTACGGGAGCTGCCAGTTTGTGACATTAGGGGAAGGATGGTTAAAAAAAAAAAAAAAAAAAAAAGGAAAAGAAAAATTGAGAATGTGAATTAAATAAATGAAGGAAAAAAAAACAACCCACCCCCCTCACTTTGACTCTCTCCAGATACCTTTAGAGAATGTTTAGGGTCTAAGATCTAGTCTGCACAGAGATTTGTGGAGACCAGCAAGGAACAGGGCACCACTGGAGCTGAATGATAGATTTAATTTGGAGTATGCAAGATGAAAATAAGTGAATGTTGTCTTTTCCTGCCAGCATCCAGGCCCCAAGAAGCCTCCACGCTCTGCAGGACAGAAACACATGTGTGTTGTGTCCCTAGAGCCCAGATCCATAGTCAATATTTTCTTCTAGGTCCAGATAGATGTTCTGTGTGTACCAGTGGGTATGGATGGAAAGCCATCAATGACCTTTGCCTTATTTATTTACCAGGGTTTGCTCAGAATTTGCTCTCAGGGCTAGGCCAGTTCCGTGTGCATCATATAATCTGATCTTTTTGTTCCAGTCAATTCAGAATTATAAATGATTTTAGAAGGTGTTTTGTGGTTGTTGTTCAGATTGGACTAATTAAAACATAATTTCAGTTCAATAAATATACTTGTGTACAGACCCTTAATCTGTATTAGGAACTTTTTCTCGCTCCACACTCCCTCATTCACCTTTTTTCATGGAATCAGAGGGATGAATTCTGTGTCAATCTGGCCCTGTGTTTTTGTTTTTATTATTCTCAATCTATGTGAGGCTGCTTATGTCATTGCTCACAGCTTTGTTTATGAGGCTGAGTTGGAGGCTGCTTTTTCACTGTGATCCATGACCACCTCCAGCATCCCTAATCCTGTCTCATTTTTCGTCCTTAGCCTTGGAGCAGAGCATGGGTGAGGTAATGGCTCAGTATAAATCCATCAATTCAAGAGGAAAACAACTTATATACACAGGTCCTTCATATATGAAGTAGAAGCAATAAAGGCAGATTCTAGAAAGTCCAGTGATGAGGCGGCAAATGCTCTGACCCCTTGAGTAAGAAACCTATGAATCCTCAAATTATTTCCATTTCTGTTTCCTCATCAATGAAAGTTAGGGTTTGGCTTCTGAAAGGTCCACCAGATCTAAATCTTTAGGATTCAAAAGGATAACTATCACCAGGTCTTTATATACACTACCTCCAATGGGGAAAGTGACAGAGATACAGCAAGGTCAAGTCACTTACCTAGGGCTGCATTTAGTAAATGCAGCCTTCACAGCTTGACTCTGGAGTTCATGCTATCCTGTAATATCTGCCTTGTGAATCAAATCAACTAAGGACAATTGGCTTTTTGAAAGATTTAGATATTAGGGAGCCTTGGTGGTATTGTGGTGGTGGTGTAAGGGGGAGCTCTGGTGGCGTAGTGCCTAAGGCATTTGACTGCTAACCAGCAGGCTGACAGTTCAAATCCAACAGTCACTCCTTGGAAGGAAGACAATCTACTTCTGTAGAGACACTCTCTCAGAAACCCAAGGAGGGTTCCCTATAAATTGAATCAACTCGACAGCAGTGAGTTTGGTTTTGGTTTGGTTTTTAGTGATTAAGAGGCTCTGATGGTGTAGTGGTCAAGGCATTTGGCTGCTCAACAAAAGATTGGTGGTTCAAACCCACCAGCTGCTCCGTGGAAGAAAGATGAGGCAGCGTGCTTCCATAAAGATTGACAGCCTTGGAAACCCAATGACAGCCACTATGAATTGGAATCGAATCAATGGTAGTGAGTTTGGTTTGGTGGCATATGGTTAAAACATTGAGCTATTAACAAAAACATTGGTGGTTTGAACCCACTAGCTGCTCTTCAGAGAAAGCTGTGGCAGCCTGCTTCCAGAAAGATTACAGCCTTGGAAACCCTGTGGGGCAGTTCTACTTCATCCTAATGGATAATGATGAGTCAGACTGACTTGATGGCATTGGTTTTAGATATTCATGTATATTTCTAGTTCTAGGCTGTTGTTGTTGTTGTTGTTATTTGCCATCGAGTCGGCCCTGACTCATAGCGACCCCTCCTTGGGTTTCCGAGGCAGTATCACTATGGAAGTAGAAATGCCCAAGCTTCCTTCCGAGGAGTGGCTGGTGGGTTTGAACCGCCAGCCTTCTGGTTAGCAGTCAAGTGCCTTAGGCACTATGCTACCAGAGCTCCTAGTTCTAGGTAGTGGTAAGATATTCTACTCTCTGACTACCCTCTGCTCCTTACTGTGCCTTCTCAATCTCTGTTGCTGCTCACTGAGACTATACATTTTAGAGATCCAGACTTATGCAGTGGAAGGTGTTATAGATGAGAAGGGGAGGATGGGTGAAAACCACAGATAGTCCATTGATGTATTTATTGCATGTTTGTCCATGTGGGTCCGATTCTTGGGTTCAGACACCATCCTGCACACCAGGAATATGTAGACAAGATATGCATAGGGACTGAATTAAAGGTGAGACTCAGGGTTGGGGGAGAGAGTCTAGAGAAAAAAACAAATTCACAAAAGACAGAACGGTAGTCTCAGAAATAGCTAACAAAGACAGTAAGAAATGCTTTTAAATGCAAATTTTTCACTTAGTGATAGTGAATGTTAATATTAGCTTTTCAGGGCTTTTCAGGTAATAAAAGCAGAATGGAAGGACACGTTATTGAGAAACCAGTCTCCTGTGTTATTATTTAGAGTCTGAGAGAGGGACCTGAGTACAAAATACTATGAAGATTTTACATGAATTTCAGTATTAGAAAGTGCAGATTACTAACATGAAAAGCCAAGACAATATGCTGTATGTATGATGTAACTACTTAAAATAGTCCTTTGAAACTCCTTGGAGTTTTTGAAAGGCAGTGACGTGTAGTAAAAAAACACACACGTTTTGCTGGTGACATTAGAAAAGTTGTGCAACATCCTTGTGCTTTTGATCTTTTTCTTCTGTCAAATGAGTAAAACTCTACTTCATAGTGTTATAAGCATTAAACAAATTAATACACATATAGTACTTAGAACACTAGTTAATATAGCACATAGCAAAATACAACAAAAGGTGTTTATTATTATTTCAAGCAGAATAGATAAATTTTTGAAGAAAAGCTCTGGTGGTCTGCTACTGAAAGGTCACAGCCATTGAAAACCCTATAGAACACACCCTATAGAACCCTACTCTGCACACATCAGATCACCATGAGTCAGAATCAACTCTACAACACCAGCAACAGATACATTTTATTTACTAATCCTCCTGCCATTTATAAATGATGCACATGATTGATCACAAAGACATTTTTTTTTCTCGTAGTTAAATCATGGTACCAAGACAGAGCACCTCAAGCAGGAAGATAAAATTCTGTGTTCAGAAATAAAAAAGACCACTGTAAGTGGACTTTAAATGAGATTTCTACTTCCATTCTCTATAGTCTGTACAAGTTCCCCTTCCAAGTCCCAGGAAGTTTTCATGTCTTGGGTAACAGACTGTGGAGTTTTTCTATGAAGGGGCATGCCAGAGCAAGGGAGGTTGGGGTGCTGTGCCAAATGATTCTTTCTGGCAGGTCAGTGAGACTCTTCATTGGATCGGGGGAA